TGAGATCATAGAAGATGGTAGAAATTTTAAGCAGTTAAGCCGAGCACAAGGAACATTACAGTTATAAATGGTTAAAAGGATAATTAAAACAATTGGTTTTAATTAGGAGCCACAAAGCAATAATTGTTATCGGTAAATAATCTGGACTATTTTTTTTTTGTTCCTGTACAAATTACTGTGAATGGATATGTTAAATAACTTGTTCCTCGGCTTGATATAAGTCAGTCCCATTAAATGGAATTACTCGTTCAGCATTCGAATCATACAACATTGCATGTATGTTTCCTGTTTCATCTTCAATTGCAATCGGCAATCGACACCTAATTAGTATGAATGAAATAAAAGGCTATGTATATTAGTTTGAGGCGAATACATTTAACCAAAATAGTTAATGAAGTTTCAATTAACATCAAAGGTTTGTAATAAGTCATGTATAGTTTATTTGGCACTACAACGATGAAAGAATCATTACAATTTTCACAGGAAAATTTGGTAGCTAACTATGAAAAGTTAGATAACCAAAAATGCTAGGATCAATTGTACATATTAAGATAAATGGATAATATTAGTAGAAGATAATGTAGCAAGATTAACAATAGTATACAAGAACAATATGAAGAACCATGAAAATTTAGAATAAGTCAGTTAACTTGGTTGAGTGGTGTATAGAAATAAGATTTTTTTGTGGGCAAAATATGTTGGGTAAGCAGAATGGCATATGACATGCAATGAAAAAGAGATACAAGAAAAGTAAGATAATAGAAAGCTTTAAAGACTAGAAACTTTTATTTGGAAATAAGAAAAAAACTATAGAAGTGTGTACCTGCAGATTGCTTTTATTTAATTCATAAAAGTTGGAGTTATTTATTGATTAATTCAAACCTTGCTTCAACAAGGGTATCTTCCTTGCAACTTCGACATTTCACGGGCGTATTTGGAGGTACAGTATAAATTTTGCGACAATTGTTGCAAATAGTTGTCCATAAAGACCTGTTGTCTCCAAATTTCAGCTTGCCAGCGACCCAACAAGTTTTAGTCTAACAAAAAATTTATTAAGTTATTGACTGAAACTTTTCAATATTGAACTTATGGTATTGAATATATTATTTGATTTGCATAAGCGTAACATGCTGTCGCTTAAGTATCTGATTGAGGCTAATGCGCTTGGACAGTGGTTAAATCACTGGCAGATGGGTATGGAAACAATTTGTCTATGTCTTTATACACGCCTTCTTCCACAAGCTTCGCAACATCTGCTTTCTTTTCAGCGTACCTATTAAACAGTATGTGAGATGCAACAAAAAGGTGTGTTGTAATGTTACAATCACTTTATTGGAAACTGATTAATGCGTACCACTGCTTCAACCTGTCAGCAGCCGGTATTGGTGGATTAATCATCAAGCAAGTTCCTGTCTTTGTCGATAATGACAGTCCTTTATGAGGGCAATTGTGTTAGTCAAACATGAGCACACAATTACTTCTAATGTAAAAAATGAAATTGCGGCATATGATACCAATAAACGTCGTAACTCTTGTTCTCATGGCTAAAATGATGTTCCCAGCTGCCACTGTATTAGCCAAGTTGTTGACCAACATCATCTTCTGTTTCAAATTGATTCCAGAGAGTCAGAAGGAGTGGCTTCTTCCTTGCGAACAAACACTTATAAGTATTATTGATATATTGATAAAAATTTATGATGTAGGATAAAACTCTTACTCTTCATTGACAATGACCAAGTCTCGTGCTGTGTTTTTTTTGCTAAGACTCTTGACCAGAAAAGCATGCACGATAACACCAAGTAGGTCTAGTAAAATTTAAATGCAATAGTGTTAGTTGGTTTGTTGTTTAAGAAAATCACGCGGAAATTTTAAGTAAACTAATATTTTAAATTTTAGCCAACTGAATTCACTTCTGGGGTTTTCTGTATCTGCGTATTTGTGCAAGTCCACAAACGAATGAATTTCGATTTGGAAAGCGGAGGAGGCACCTCTTCCTGTAACTCTTCAACTAAAGTTTTTTTATGCAGGAGCCAATTGAATTCGTAAGGGCCAACTTGGTACAACTTGGTACAACGGGCTTTCTGGCCGCACTTTTGCTCCAGTAAGGTAGTATCTCTTGTACGGAAGTAGCAGCCCATCGAACTCCTCCATGGCTGTCTACAACAGCTACTTTGGTACCCTGTTATGCAAGAATAATGAATTTACCATAGATATCCTAGAGATTTGTTATTAAAGTCAATTAATACACAAAAACATAAGTCATTTACAGACCTCTCCATCAGTGAACAAGTATCTTCGATAGAGCACTTGTGAATCACTTTTGCTTGCTTGAATAGGCGCCCTCTTAACGACTTGAATAAGCGCAGTCCAGTTTCTTGTTTCATCAGTGATTTGGCTAATGGGCAGATAGGTCCTCGACATCATTACCTGCATTCATTGATAATACAGAAATCAAAATGTGAAAAATAGTAGACCTTATGTAAAATAGCCTTTAGTAAATTAAACAGACATTTTTTTAACATAATAATGCTAATTTTGAGTACATTGTGGTGTTGCAGCTGCTGCGACCACTTCACTGTAAACGATCTTTTTTGTAGCATAATTTCTTTGGGGATCAAAAAAAGGTGGTTAATTAACAAATCTAATTGCTGATGAGAGTTTTGCGCGTGACAGGGCTACATAAAGTTGACCATGCGAACCCTGGCTCTTTTAAATAAACATCAATTGAATCTAATGTTTGCCCCTGGGCTTTATTAATTGTCATAGCAAAACATAATCGAACGGGGAATTGAATTCTTTTGTAAGGCACAGGAAGTTGGTCATAACTTAAAGGTTTTAATGGAATTTTATGTATGAAAACATTCTTCCCTTTGAATTCTCCTATAGCGATTTCTACATGAATAATGTTTTGGCTTAATTTTTTACAAATTAGTCGTGTTCCATTGCATAATCCTTCTGTTGGGTCTAAATTTCTGAGTAGTATGATGGGAGCATTTACTTTTAACTGTAACTTGTAAGTTTTGAGACACTTCTAAATCATTTAAGAAGTGATACATTTGGCCTTGTATTTTGAAGGTGTAAATCTCTTTATTGCGTTTGGTTAAATTTTTATCACATTTTACTCCCAAAGAAGTAAATGCAAATTGGTTGTTGATGGTCCTAATACAATCTCGAAAGAGTTTAGATTCTTCATTTGTGGAGAAAAGTAAATCTTTTAAGACACTTGGCAAGGAGTTATTTGGTAATTTAATTTTACCGTTTGAACGGCAGAATGCACTCGTTTCATATGGGAATTTAACGGCACAACAATAAGAACATTTTTTGGTTTCTCAAAAAATAAAAGGTTCACCTGCTATGTTTTCCAAAATATTACGATAAACAACGTGTGGGGTACCTATCACAAATGTAGATGTTGTTAGGTGAATTTGTTAGTGCTATCTAAAATAATTTATTTGAAGAAATTAGAAGATAAAAGAATAATAAAAAGGAATTTATGCTGAGGAATAAAAGTGCACTAAAATTCCTACCTGTACTATGGGAAGAAGATATTACATTTTCTGTAGGTCTATACAAACCGACCATACTTTGTGCATATAAAGATGAGGTCGAGGAACTATTTGATTCATTCGAAATAACTGGAGTTTGTGGATTTTGTAAACTTACAACGCAATAGGCAGTCGGCGAATTATCTGTAGTGATATTACTACATACGGGTTGACTTGGATACGAAACAATATTTTCTAACCCTTAAATTGCTTTTTTTTTTTTTTTTGCCTTCCATTTTTCAATAGCATTTTGTTTATATGTTTTGTCATGAAGTTCTAGAGCACAACCAGAGCCTTGTAAAACTAGAGTTTTTGTTGAATTGGCCATTTTTGAATTTAATGTTTTTTCTACATTACATAGAGGAGTTCCTCGCCTATTCATTCTGTCTTCATCAATGTTTCTGTTTCTTTCATAAGAAACGAAATTTGTAGAGTATTTACTGAGTGTTGTTGGGACGTACTTGCATAACCGTCTTCGATAACCAAATTTTTCGTTGTTAATATTCTGCGTTTTTTTTTCTTGTTCTTCCATCTTTCAATGGCACATTGACGGTACCTTTTCTTAGAGGCCGAGATTACGTTAATGTAATGCCAATTTTCTGACAATTGCTTATTTCTATTAGACATTTGCTGGAAAATTTTTTGTAAACTTAAAAAACAACAGATTCAACTTTACCAATTAAGGTCAATCAACAGACCACACCACTTCGGATAAGTTTGTAATGTATTATACGGTAAACCTATAATAACATTATATTTTTTTATTTTTTTGTTTATTTGTAATACTTTACTTACACACTTAGGTGTATGCTTTTATTTATTCTAATTTACCTTCACTATGCAATCAATACATTTAACAATGACCTAAGACACTGAAATCACACAGTTTACAGAAAACACATAGTTAAGGAACCACGAATAATTAGCATAATAATAAACATGATAAATAAACAGGCAAAACACAAATATTTTATCTTATACAATAAATAGGCACCAAGTAATACAATCCTAGAAGCAAAATGATTTACTCTATTCAAAACAGGCAAGTGATAGTTAAGAGGCTAATGGTAAGCACAAAGCTGAATAAACTATTAAAGGAAGGAAAAACAATTAACAGATAATTTGCATGAAAGGAAGCTAACCTGATAGCGATAAATAAACACTTTGTTATCCTTCCTGGTATATAGAATTTGAACATTTCAGACAGCAGTTCTGCCCAATAGCACAGTCACCTACATGTTTATTAATAAATAAACAATAAGTCAGGAAAATCACCTCATAAATAAATACGAAACATAAAAAGATTTATGCAAACACATATATTAATGAAAAAGGAGCTAATTAACCAACAAATATGTCTAACATATGTACGTAATTAAAAGTTTCTTATGAGGATAACTTATTTTCATGTTTGAAAAAAACACTAAAGTTTAACACCAAATAATAAGAGTAAGATATTTTATCATTACCTTATATATAAACCTTTCTAGTCAATCAGCAGGTATATAAGACTTTGGAGGTAGTCAATACAGCAGTTCTTTTTAAACACATGAGAAATCCAACAACGATAATTAGACCCCAAAAATGGCATATTGAAAGTTTTTTTTGTAATGGGTAAAAAAAAAAGAAAAAAAAATCTTGTTGCACATAAGACATAGGCAACCTTCCAGAAAATACAACAAACTTGAATTTCTTTTAACCACAATGACATTCCAAAGCTCATGCAAGCAAAACAGTCAGGCATTAAATATCGGCTGAAGAGGTTCGATTCAATTGACCCTTTCTCGATGAGTGGGCCTCCCAGCTCAAATGTGTAAAACAACATCCAATCAACTTTCAGTTAAAAATGGATAAACACAACTGGCAAACCAAGAGAGACAGACAAGTATAAGTAGATACAACCAGCGTAGATCATATCTATCTTACAAATTCTATCTGAAACAGATACCATGATAATTTAATGAAGACTAAAAGACTATATAGTTCAACTCTGTGCAAACCAACAATAAAAAGTTAATTTCTAACCTAAACAGATACATTGATAATTAAATGAAGCTCAAAAGAGCACATAGTTCAACCTTGTGCAAACCAACAACAAAAGCCTAATCCTTGTAATAAACAACAAATTAGTGTATAAGGCAACAAAAGCCTAATCCCCATAGTCTTTTCAGTTGCTCTGTGTATAAGGCAACAAAATCTTAATCTCATCCTAAACAACAAATTATAATGAACTTTGTCTTCCAAAAATTAACAAAAAACCCTAGAAAAAAACAACATAGAGAAATAACGGCAAATATAACATGTGTAGGTCCTTTTTATTTTACAGCCTTTAACCCAAGTAAACACTCTTATACTTTCATTTTGGGAAAAACCCTATAGACTTCATCTCTATGTAAACCCAAAACAACACGCTTTACTTTGTTTTAGGAGAACTCATAAACACCGAAATCAGCTGCCAATACAAAGCAAATCCTCCAAAAACAGATAAATAAGAAATCCGATGTTATTTGCATTTCATCTTTACTTGGGGGAAATGTTTGGAGTAGCTAGCAAGAAGAAGTTACCTGAAGATACCCGTGTTTCAATAGCAAAGATTATATTTTTCCTTGGAAAAGTAAAATGGTGATGCTTATATATACAATGTTAGTTTCTTCCAAACTAATGTATACAATAATATATTGTTAGTGGAGCCAAATCAAATCACAGGCCTTTATAAAAATATTAAGCTGCCTAAAATAAAACACATTACACACACATTACACCGAAAAAAAAGTCAAAAAATCTATCTAAAAGCTGCAAGTAAATATTTTTAATGACATCAACCAGATACTTTGTAATAATTTCAATCAATTGCCTCATACAATAGACGGTTGTATACATTACAGAATCTGAACAGAAGAGCACAACCAATTTCTCCTCATCATTTAACTATTTTCTCAATTGAACTTAAATAAAAATGAAAATTAAATTGCCATACACAGTAACACAAACCATCAATACCATTCCAAAGAAAACCAAAAGCAATTAACCAAACAACTTGGAAATGTTGCAGGGGAAAAATAGAAGAGTGAGCAACATAAATTGTAAAAAATAAAAAATAAAAAAAAAATAAAAAGGAGCTTTCCTGGTTTGCATGTGTAGCAGATTAAACCGCAAAACAGACGACTTAAATGTCCTTACACCTACGAAACAAAGATTAGAAAAGATACCAAACCTTCCGGGTTAATTTCCGAGCTAAATTGGCTAAAATAAATAAAATTAAACTCACACCAACTCCAAAATAATAGATCAGCACGATATCGCAAATCAATTTTGGAATTATTTACCTGCAATTGACGGGACGCAATCCTGAAAAATGAACAAAATAAACCTTCACTGGAACTAAATAAAAATGGCCCAACTGTATAATTTCGAGACCGAATCCGAAAAAAAAATAATAATAATAATAAAAAAACAGATTCAGAGTGACTCATCGAGTAAGACGACGGGATTCGAAAAATCGCTCTTCCCCAAAAAAGGTCTCGATAAAATGAATGAAAAGGCAAACGAAAAATAACCTCACACCATAGGAGATGATGCCGTTTTAGACATCAAAAAACGACGACGTTTCGTATGAAAATCATCATTTTTTTAACAGGTACAAAGCCTCTTCAAATTCCTTGCGCCACGTGTCGTTCAAAGAAGGCTCTTACCATCTTTTTATATATTAAAAGTAAAGATAATAAGAATAACCATTTATCGAAAATAGTAGCAAAAAAATTTGTGAACATTTAATGCATACATTCTGTAGAAATTTTTTACAGATATGCATTAATTGCTTCTAAATATATGTTTCCAAATCAGATAAAATTAAATGTAATAAAAAAGATTCTTTCCTTGAAT